GAAGCGTATGGCCATTTTGAATAACATTCGTAATTCTTTTGCGGGAATCTAATTCCAATAGGGCATCTGATATATATAGTGACCTGATGTTTTTATATTGATGGTAAACAATAGATTCTTTGGTTATATTATGTACGTCATAGGAGGTGTCGAGTTTGATTTCTTTGTCCACTTCGCTCGAAAGACAGCGAAACGATTAGGCGAAACTAATGGTTTAGTGTTTTTCCCCGTATGGCTTGGAGAATTATGCTATGATAGCAGCGACCGTTTGGGTTTGGTAGTAAACGGAGAGGGTATCTTGTCCATCTTGAAAGTGAAGTCGCATAAATACGATATGTAATACCGTGAATACTCGTATAAAACCGTAAACTGAACTAACTAACTTAACTTAAATAAACTAATAAAGTAACTTTAATTAAAATTGCGGTTACGGAACGGGCAAATTATAATCGCACTGACATGCGACCGTGTTACAAGTCAATATCAGACTGATCGATCTAATACTTATTAATTACTATTAAAATGGCATGATAAATTACTTCGTTCACCGTTGATGATTTAAAATTACTCCGTTTTTTAAATTGTACAGTCCCAATTGTCTCCGAAGTCTTCAAAATTGGCAAAGCTGGAAATGAATGATTGTAGTTGTTGCCATTACTCATAGCATCTCCTGCAATCGGTTGGTTAGACACCATTGATACATTATTCATCATTGTAATTGATTTTCTAGACAGGTACTTTTCTGAAACAAAATCTGATAACTAAAATCAGAATGCGAATGAATAAATAAATTTAATTCGTTCGAATTCGATATCGATGTTCAACCAGTATAATATTTCAGAAAGTGATGTGATACGTCTTATAAATCAACTAAATATTCTTCTATAACTATAAACAACTAACAAACTAAATTACCAATAGTTACAAATATGCAAAATATAATTTTATATCGATTAATAACGACTAATACAATTTTTATAAGTCTGTAATATCAAACGATAATCGATCGAAAAAATAAAATTTCATATAAAAATCAAAAATGTATTTAAATATTAAAAAGTGCATTTTCGCATATAGACCTCTTAATACACGTGAATTCCGTGACACGTGCTTTAAGAGCTCTATTTACATATGTACTTGTATATTTTTAGTCATGTATGTATTTAAATATTGTTTAGTTTCAAAAGTGATCTAATGGCGAGTAGAAGTGCTGTTATTTTTAAATTTTTAACGGGACTGTTAAATGGATCGAACAAAATAGGAGTACTTATATTGTTTGCGATATGCTTCGTAAAGAAATCTTAGGAAAGGAGCAAGAGGCATTTAAAAAAAAAATTAAGGGTTCGACAATGGATTAGTAGAAAAAATAGTGTTTGCGCATCAGCTTGTTTTGATTTAAGAAATCACATTGATCACGTGGTTCACTATTCGTGTTCGGGAATAAACTGGCCTAAAATTACCTAATTGCATTCAACTTCTGTCCGACGTGTTGGACTGCATGCAAGAGCTTGCTTTACGTACTATAAACGTTCACGTTTGTTCAATTTTGTTCTTGCACGAGTAAAAACAAGCATGAAAGAGCATACAAGTGATTTCAATAGTGTGAATCCGGTAAAATGCTTTATTTTTAACTTTTAAAATTCACATACGTATTGAGTAAATAAAGCTAAAATACACTATCGGCGGACGGCGATTGTCGTATAGATAAGCAATAAATGTACTTATGCATAGCGGTCGTTTGACGTTTATTAAATATTTTACAACGAACAATTCTGCAAAATGTTTAAATTTTACCAAAATATGGTATGTACACTAAAAATTTGTTTGAACCGGGACGATAAACATTATTTTTTTTACGAATCGGAACGCTGAAAAAAAATTTTTCGTGGACCATTTCGAGCCCTGTTTGTTTCTATAAAGACTATTTAGTTATTGTAATTAGAAAAATGAATTCCAAATATAAAATGAATACTAAAATTCGTTTATCGAAAAGAAAAAAAAACACAAAAGGTTTCATAAAGGGAATAAGAGACCACCATGAACCAAAATAATAGAAATAATAGTACAAATTACATTGCACACTGCAAACTATTTGCAGCTATTTTTTTTTTTTTTTTAATTAATCAAAACGTGGGTACCTAATTTTTGATAACTACAATAATTGTAGTACACCATATTTGATGAATAATTCATCAAATATGGTATACTGCGATAACGATTGCAATGAACGACTACCTGGATGATGATGCGGAAAGAAGTGGTAGCCGCATTGACGCCACCACACACTAATAATCGTTTACAATTAATACATAGACCTAGGGTAGCGACGATGTGATTAGAAATTGCTCCTTAAATAAATGCTAAAGGGAGGCCTCTTAATAGATAGAAATAGTAAGTCATCAATCGTTAGTTGAAGGACTAAAAAATGACAAATAGATAGTAAATATTATTAAAAATGTCTTTTATATACTCCAACTTTTAAACTACATATGAATCATTAACAATTATAAATTAAATTATATAACATAATAAAAACATTTGATTTTTTTTTTTTTTCAATAAAATTTCTTTTCGATACACATAATTTTCAATAAAACAAAAATAATAATTAAAATGAAAGTATAAATCATCACATTTTACAACATTTTGTTCCCCATAACATACAATTTTCATTTACTAGACATTACAAGACAAGTATTTATTTGATTTCGGTCAACGTCTCTGCGAGAATTTTCTCAAGTTTACGAGAATCTGCTGCAAAATTTCTTATGCCTTCAGACAACTTATCATTGGCCATTTTGTCTTCGTTCATTTCCCAGCGGAATTTGGCTTCATTAATCTCAATTTTTTCCAAATCTGAAGCTTTTCCTAAACAAAAAGTTTATTATGCTCATTAAATTAAATATAAGTATTAATAGACAAAGTAAAATTAATGTTTACCATTCTTTACAGTCAAATATTCTGTGAGTGGCTCATTGGACAGTTCCAATTCCTCAAGTAACTTTGGACTGATAGTTAACAAATCACATCCAGCCAATGCTTTGATTTCACCTAATACACATAGTTACAATTGTTAAAAACTGTGATACTTAATAAAAATATATATTTTATTAATTTACCAATATTACGGAATGATGCACCCATCACAACTGTTTTATAGTTGAATTTTTTAAAATAATTATATATCTTGGTTACTGATTGGACACCTGGATCTTTTAAGGGTTCAAAACTTTTGTTATTTGTGTTTGCTACATGCCTAAAAAAAAAAAATTAAAATTACAAATCTACAAAAATAAATAAGAAATCTTCTAATTTACCAATCTAAAATACGACCCACAAATGGAGATATTAATGTAACATCAGACTCAGCACAAGCAATGGCTTGATAAAGAGAGAATAATAAAGTTAAGTTACAATGTATACCATGTTCTTGTTCCAAAACTCTGAAAGCAATTTGAAACAAATATTTATAGTAAGTAATTTATTTATCAATAATAATTAGTATCTAAAATACTATTTCTGCTATGCTTACTTAGCTGCTTGAATACCCTCCCAAGTAGAAGCTAACTTAATTAATATACGTTCTTTGGGAATTCCAGCTTTTTCGTACATTTTTATGTACTTGATAGCTTTAGCAATACTTGCTTCTTTGTTAAAAGATAATCTGAAATGTATAAAAATAATTAAAACAATATCAATAATACATTTTATTCTAAAACATACCTAGCATCTACTTCTGTAGACACTCGTCCAGGAATCAAAGACAAAATTTCAGTACCAAATAACACAACAAGATGATCCATTGCTTCCTCAATTTGTTCTTCAAGTGTCCTATCATTAGTAAATTTTACATGCTTTAAAAATGATATATTGGGTTTTTAACTTATTATAAATAATAAATTTACAAATTACCAAAAAAATATTTTAAATTAACAATTAACATTACTTTTCATAATGTAGAAATAAATTAATATTATTGTCTAAAGAAATGTATTTTGTTTTCACTTGTGCATTGAGTTATGAAATGATAACTTTCAGTTAAATTTATTGTGTAAATTTTACTTTACATACAATAAATAAGTACTTAAAACAAAAAGACTCAATTTTATTTCTAAATTCTAAACAGATACTTAATTTATTCCAAATCATGTAATTTTTATTTTACATAAAAATATTTATTTTACACTTACTTTCCAGTTGCAGCAGCTAATTTTAAAGCTTTACCTATCAAATCTTTATACTGTGGCATTTTTGCTGCGGCTAGGATCAAACTGGGATTTGTTGTAGCATCAGTTGGCTTGTACTTTTTCATAGCTAAAAATATTTGAATAAATGAATTAATAACAAAAATTTATAGGCTTCAATTTTATTTTTCATAGATCTCTGATAATTCAAAAGTTTAGATGCTTTTGAATTAAATATTAAAATATTAATTTATAAATTTATTATAAACAGTATAGATAATCTATGATTTTAACATATGGCTTATATTGATAAAATGCATTGGTTTTAATGTTCTACAGTCTTCAATATAAATTCATATATGTGATATTAATGAATCATAATATTATTCATGTTAATTAAAATATATCAACAGTCAGTCAATGTATATGTATAATTTTTACTAATTTATGATAATATAACTGTAGTTTTGGATTTACCCATGATATACTATTACAAATGACATAAAACCAACAAGTTACTATATGCCGAATAATTTTTAATTCTTTTTTTTAGTGTTAATTGAATTATTCGTGTAGTATACAATTCACCAAAAAACTGTACGCCAAGAGAATGCTATCTACAGTATTACTACCTGGCTATTTCAAGGTAATTGTAAATATAATAAAGAACGAGCGAGGAATGGAGTTATAAT